ATCTCCAAAGGCCAGACTTCCTGAGGTTCACAGAGCTTCTCACCCGGGCACAGGAGACCAGGCTCCAGGCAGCGATGGGGAGGCTGAAGCTGCCGAGAAAGAAGCTGAAGAGGAGCCAGAGCCCAGGTGAGGAGGTCTGGCAGGGGGAGAGGAGGGTGCCTACCAGTCCTCTGGGGTCTATTCCCTGACAACCACCTCTCCCTTCTAGGCTCATCATGGACAAGGCACCCCAAGAGACGCTCAGCAAGGCTGAGGTGAGTAATGAGTGACCCTGAAGAGGAGGTGGGAAGTGAGACTCAGGAGACCCTGGTCTGGGCCACTGTAATCCTCCTCTGTCAAATGGGGACAGGGACCTGGTCTCTAAGGGAATCTCAGAATCTGGCTCTTAGGGGTGGTGGGGGACTGAGCTGGGTGAGGTTTAGGACTCAGAAGTTACTGTCTGCCACCAGTGGGACGAGTCAGACAGGGCATGTCGTGACACGGGATGGGGTGTGACATGCAGGCCCCACTGGTTTGGCAACTGGTTAGCTGGTTACCAGCCCTGCCTGGAGGGCTGTGCTAAATCCATCTGGGATAGCCAGCTGGAGCCTCTGGCCTCTGACCCTATCGTGACCTTTGACTTCTTCATCACTAGTCCCCACTGTGATCTCTACTCCTTGCTTTTTTCAGAAACCTGATTCCCCTTCACCATATGTCCCCCTAAAGTCTTCAGATCATGAGGAAGAACCCCAGGCCCAGGAAGGTGAGTGGGAGGGTGTGTGTTGGGGACTACAGAGAGGTTTCAGGGACCAGAGGCATCTCTGAAGTGACCCCAACCACCTGTGTTCACCTTCCTTCCCCTTCCTACTCTCTCCTTGGTGCGTGTATATGCGTGTACGTGTGCGGTCTCAAGGGCTTCCCGCAGGACTGGAGCCTGAATCCGCAGGTCACGGGAGTGGCAAACCAGTCCCTCCAAATCTGCTTAGGGGCGGGCAGGAGAGGGCCAAGCTCAGTAGCTCATGCCCCACCCCAGCCCCGGACTCCGGGGCCCCGCAGGTCAACACGGAGGAGGCGGAGCCGGAGCCGGAGCCACGGCCGCGGGGAGCGGAGTCGCGGCCACCCCCAGCCCAGGTAGGCGGGAGCGGCCGGCGGCTGCTCCCAAGACCCGGAGCGGATTCTAGGCGGGGAGTGCCCGTGCACCAGGCTGAGAGCCGTCGGGGAAGGGCTGGGAAAAAGAAGACGCCCCGTCACTTACCCCCTGCCCCACGCTCCCCAGACCCAGACGGCGCCCGAGATCTTGCAGAACGGGGAGGAGGCTCCCGGGCCCGGCCCCTCCCTCGACCGCATGCTCAGCAGCAGCTCCTCGGTGTCCAGCCTCAACTCCTCCACGGTGAGGGGTGAGGGCTATGGCCTGGGGACGAAGGAGACGGGTGGGGGACGCCACCCTCCATATCCCCGCGCGTAGCCCCGGCCTCACCCCTCCCTCGTCCCCTGATCTGAGCAACACCCCCCAACCCCGCCTGGACCTGAGCCCTGCACACCCCCCGCCCCGCGCTGACCTCCACCCCCGCCCGCAGCTGAGCGGCAGCCAGCTGAGCCTGTCCGGGGAGGCCGAGGCGGGCGCGGTGCAGGTGCGCGGCTCCGTGCACTTCGGGCTGCGCTACGAGCCGGGCACCGCCGAGCTGCGCGTGCACGTGATCCAGTGCCAGGGCCTGGCGGCCGCACGACGCCACCGCTCGGATCCGTGAGTGCCCGAACCGCTCTCGCTGCACCCCCACCCCGCCACTCTTCTTGGTCGATTTTCGTCCGTCTTCAAAGTGGGAGTATCAACGTCCTTGGGAGGCGCGGGGGTTGAGTGAGAGAACTCCTGGAAAGCGCTGCCCGGAAGCTGTGCTCTGGGCTGGGGCTGGGGAGGCCCCCCCGGGGGGGGTAGGCGCTGGGAGGGCCCCCCATTAAGCTCCGGTCCTCTCCTCCCCTCCCACGCTCCAGCTACGTCAAAAGCTACCTCCTCCCGGATAAGCAGAGCAAACGCAAGACTGCGGTGAAGAAAAGGAATCTGAACCCGGTCTTCAACGAGACTCTGAGGGTGAGCCTGCGACAACCGGGCGGCCCCCCATGCATGAACCCAACGCCCTTTCCTGCGGGGGCCTGGTGCCTGGGGCAGCCAGGGTATGGTCGTTGCCCGTCGCTCCGACCCTCCGTTGTGCGGGAGGAACGGCAGGGAGGCCCTCCGTTCGTGCGTTCCCCAGTGGGTCAGTCCAGTGCTGGGCATGGCGCTAGTCCAGACCTCCCATTAAGGCCCTTCGGGGCTCCCCCAGATTCCGTCGTGCAAGGAGCGCGGTAGGACAGGCCCCCGTCCACACTGCTGCAGCGCTGAAGCCGGCGCCAGCCGCCGTGGTCCCTTAAAGCGCACCTCTTGTCCCCAGTACTCCGTCTCGCAGGCCGAGCTCCGGGGCCGCGTGCTGAGCCTGTCCGTGTGGCACCGCGAGAGCCTGGGTCGCAACATCTTTCTGGGCGAAGTCGAAGTGCCTCTCGAAACGTGGGACTGGGACTCTGAGCCCACCTGGCTCCCTCTGCAGCCCCGGGTGAGGCAGCCCGCCCGCGTGGGGAGACCCAGCGACGCAGGTGTCCGGCCTGCACCCTCCCCGCCCCAGCCCCCTTTCCTTTGCTCCAGCCTCCTCTGACTCCGCCTTTGGCCGAGCCTCCCTTCGGCCCCGAAACCCTACTGCCACCCCCGGCGGCGGTTGGGTCCCCCGGCTAGGTGCGCCCCATCCGGGTCTGGAGACCTCACCCCTCGATGGCCGCTTTCGCTGGGGCCGGCTCCCGTCCCTGACCTGACCGCCTCTCGCAGGTCCTGCACTCTCCCGACGACCTCCCCAGCCGCGGGCTGCTCTCCCTTTCCCTCAAGTACGTTCCCGCCGGCTCCGAGGGTGAGTGCCCCGCGAGAGGCCACGCTGGACGGGACCTGGAAGGAGGGGGCCTCAGGTCCGGCGAGGGCGAGGGGCGTCGGGCGAGGGCATGCGGCGGCAGGGTCTGAGCCGAGTCTCTGGGCAGGCGCGGGACTGCCCCCCAGCGGGGAGCTGCACTTCTGGGTGAAGGAAGCTCAGGACCTCGTGCCGCTGCGCTCAGGAACCCCCGATACCTACGTACAGTGGTGAGGGGCTTCGGACCCTCCTGGCTACCCTTCCTCCCCGCCCTCCCCCACCGCCCACGCGCTCTGGAGCTCCCCACCTCTGACAAACCCCTTGTAATCAACCGTTCTTGATCCGCCCCCCAGTCTGATCCGCCCCCCAGTCTGATCCTGCCCCCCCACTGTGCAGGGGTGAAGGGGACAACTTGAACAAAAGCCCAGAGTCAGAAAAGTTAAAGACTTCCTTCAGGAGCTGCATTTCAGAGTGACAAGCCATAGGACTTGGAGAGCTGAGGCTGGGGACCTGGGAGGTCACAGGGGCTCTTCCATGAAAAGACCTGGAAGGTCAGGCTGTGGGGCTTGCCCCTGAAATTGCAGTTCAGTGGTTTTCAAAGCAAGCTCTGGGGGACCTCTAGGGGTGCCTCAGGGTGCTGCCTCACACTCAGAGAGTGAAATGAAGTTGGGTGGGTCAGGTTCTAAGTTCCCAGCCCTGATTCCACGCATAGATGTTGTTTTCTTCTACTTCTGGGTAATGTTTTATCTTGCAGGGTGGGTTCTGAGGCTTTAAAAAGTCTGGAAACTACTTCTGGGGGCAACAGGGAGCCAATGAAGGTCACTGTGCAGGGAAGTAGCAGAACCGTATTTCAGAGACTTTACTCTGGGGTCCTACGAATAAGAGTTGTAACTTTTAAAGACAAGAGCCTGAGAGGTAGCTGGCCCAAAGGTCCACGAATAGTGAAGGTTTGAGTTCAGGACATAGGCGGGAGCCAGAGGGCACGGACGTTGTGAGGGAGAATGGGTAGGATCTGGTGACTGGTTGGTTCTGGGGAGCGTGAGGGGATAGCCACTTGATTGCCAGCCTACCTGCCCCACAGTTCAGTGCTGCCCGATGACAGCCACGCCAGCCGCCAACGGACAAGGGTGGTACGACGCAGCCTCAGCCCTGTGTTCAACCATACGATGGTTTACGATGGCTTCAGGCCTGCTGACCTGCACCAGGCCTGTGCTGAGCTCTCCCTCTGGGACCATGGGACCCTGACCAGCCGCCAGCTGGGGGGCATACGCCTCAGCCTGGGCACTGGTGAGTGGGGCAGGGCCCCAGGAGACCTGATGCTGATACCGGGCTCAGCGTGTGGCCTTGGGCACTTCTCTACCCTTCCCTGAGCTTTGGTGCCTACTATGAGCTGGGAGTGGCAGTGGGTAATCTGGGACCCAGCGGTGTTCCTTGGGACCTAGGGTGTCCAGGGTAACCATGTCCTTCACCCCTGTCTGCACATATCCAGGCAGCAGCTATGGGCTCCGGGTACCCTGGATGGATTCCACAGAGGAGGAGAAGCAGCTGTGGCAGATGCTTCTGCAGCGACCATGTGAGTGGGTGGATGGCCTTCTGCCCCTCAGAACCGACCTGGTGCCCAGGACATAGCTGCCCTACAAGCTCCACCAGACTCCTCTCTGGACCCCCATCTCTGGGCCTGCCCTCGGCCAAAACCAATAAAGTCTATTCTAAGGGCAGCAAGGGGCTGATGTCTGTTTTTGGGCAGCAAGGGCGATGGCAGGAATGGGCGAGGGAAGTGAAAGGGAACAGGTGAAGGGACTTCAGACTCAGAAAGACCTTAGGAAGCTGGTCCCAGGACCCCCGGCCCCCCATACCGCAGAAGTTGCCAAGATCCAGAGCGCCTGGGTGGCTCAGTGGGTTAAGCCTCTGCCTTCGGCTCAGGTCATGATCTCAGGGTCCAGGGATTGAGCCCCACATTGGGCTCTCTGCTCAGCAGGGAACCTGGTTCCCCCTCTCTCTCTGCCTGCCTCTCTGCCTACTTGTGATCTCTCTCTGTCAAATAAATAAATAAAATCTTAAAAAAAAAAAAGTTGCCAAGACCCAAACATACAAAGATACTCTGTTTAATAGTCTGCCTGGCCATACTTGATCAGCTTGGGGGTATCTCTATGGTTGATCCCCCCCAATATCGCTAAGTCTGGGCCCTACCCTGCCCCCACCCGTCTGGCCTCCTCCAGTTGGCCCTGAGTCCTGGGGTAGGTGAGGTGTATCAGAAGCAGCTTGGTGTCTTCTCTATGCAGCCATCCTTAGGTCCTGCCTTCTGTCTCTGAGCTCTCATTCAGCCTCCTGTTGGCCAGGGGTGACTGGCGTGGATCCTGCTCGCTGGGCCAAGATGGCTCTCCAGATGCGGCACACCATTCCTCCCCTGGGGAGAGCAGGCTCAGTGCGGCTCAGCCAGAATATGGCCTACTCCACTGTCTGCCTGATGCGCCTCCTGCCACCAGGGGACGCTGTGTCCATGTAACTTCCAGGGAGGAACTGAAGCAGGCATGTAGCCTGGTTGCGGGGTGGTCAGACTCTGGCCACCAAGAAGCCATATGCGTGGGTGTCCCTGGAGGGCTCAGGACATACCTGATGCGGGTGTAGATGAGGTCATCTCGAGTGGCACAGGTCAGCAGGATACGGAGGGTGAAGCTGTGATTCAGCAGCTGGTTGTGGACAAAGACCCAGATGCAGAAACAGTAGAAAAGAATATCAGAGGGAGATGTGTCCAGAGACCCAGGTACTAGCTCTGTTGGGCTACTAATATGCTACATGGCAGCCAATGCCCCTTGGCGCTTGTTTCCTCATCTGCCCCATGGGGGGTACACTAAGTGCTCTTGTGTACTGAGATTCTTGGCATGAGGGAACGAGTGAGAAGAGCTGAAAGATGGGCAGAGATGGAGTCTCTGGTGGGTGGGGGTCAAGGACTTGGCCAGCGCTCTCCCCCTCACCATCTGGATAGTGCCTGAATCCACATTCAGTCCCTGTAGCCACTGCACCAAGCCCTGGTCCACCGTGAGAGCAGCTGTGGAGGAGAAGTTAGGCGGTCAATCCAGGGGTACCTCCTGGCAGAAGCTGCCTGGCACTTGCCTTGAGTGTTCTCCAGCTGTGGCATACTCACCAGGGGGCTCTGGGGACAAGGCGCAGGTCCCCGCCTCCCTGTTTACCAGCTCCAGAGCTTGCTGCACCAGGGCCTGGCACTCTCGCTCCTTCTGGGCCAGGACATCTCGGAGCCTGTAGGAGAGCGCAGAGGCGGGGCCAGTACGATGGAGTGGAGAGGGAAGGTGAAGCTGGCCCAGAGGGCGTGGGCAAGTCCCTGGGGCTTTACCTGTCAGTCTCTGCTCGCAAGAGGCCCAGCTGCACCACTGGGGTTGGGGGTGCCTTCTCTGGTTCCCCCGGGGGCCGACTGATGGTTTCCTGCTGCTTGGACTGGGGTTCCTCCTCTGACCTCGGTGGTACCTCCTCTGTCTCCTCTTCTGCCAATCCAAGTGACTGGGGTGAGCTCCCGCAGGGAGAGAGAACGCCCATTTGGGACACTTCCCCAGACACCCGGCAGAGGGCGCACGGCTCTGGGTACCCAGCCATTCATTCCCGCCCGGGTTGAGCTTAACCCCCACCAACCACGCCCCCTACCGGCCCCCGGCGTGCATGTCAAGCCCCCAAGCGGGTCACACCCTCGCCGGCAGGCAGGATAGCTCCACTCCTGGGGTTACCTGGGCCCAACACGGCCAGGGCTACCCGCACCGCTCGGCTGAGCAGCGAGTCCAGCACAAACATCCAGTGTGGGCGGATCTGGCGCCGGCGGAGGATCTGCTTCACCTGGAAAGGGAGAAAGGGCGCGGCGGGACTCAGAGGTGGGGCTCGTGTCGGAAAGGCCTAGAAAGTCTTGAGGCAGAGGCAAGTCGAGTAGGCGGGCTTGGGGCAGAGGGAGGAGCTGGGAAACTAGGACGGGATAGATGTCCCTTTCTGGACGGCTGTATCTTCACGGGGAAGACGCGCAACCTTGCAACAAGTCCTTGCACATTCCCGGGTACAGGGAGCTGACTACATCTTATTGGGCAGCTCGAACCGCGAGAAGGCTCCCTCACCGCGTCCGGGAAGGCGAAGAGCGGTCCTTGCAGAAGTGCAGGCCGGAGGCCTTGGGCCCGCAGCTGCCCTTGCAGCGCCCGCAGCTCCTGGGCCAGCTGCCGGCGGTTGGGAGTGTGGATGTGCGCCCCGAGGCAGCGCAGTAGCTGTTCCACATGATTCCTGCCCAGCTGGGGCCCCTGGGGAGGAAGAGAGGTTGTCGTGGGTGGGTTTCCCCCTGAGTCAAGAGAGCTGCAGGTGGGGGTGCAGGCGTGGGGGAATACCTCTGAGGACTTGCAGGCCCCGCCTCACCACCAACCGGCAGAGGGGGGTGGTGGTGTGTGACTGTTGGTGGTGGTGGTTGGGACGCGCACACCCACCTGTTCCTGCTTCAGGCCCAGACTCTCCGCCAGCAAGGGCAGCTCCTGCTCCAGCACTGCGGCCAGCATGGCCCGGCGCTTGCTCTCTTGGTGAAGCAGGCTCAGCCTGGAACTCTCCTCAGGGGACGTGGGCTCCTCGGCCCCCGGTTCCTCAGGCACCCTAGTGCAACCCGGGAGCTGCGGATGGAGGGCGGGTGGCCACAGCGCCCGGCCGCCTCCACCCCAGTGTCTGAATCCTGGCTCTTTTGAGGCCAGCCTCCCAGGGGTAAGAGAGAGGAGCCTGGCACTGAGGTGGCACAAGAAATACAAGTCGGAGAATCGGCGAGGAGGCCCCCAATGCCATCCTTGCAAGTGGTGGGAGGCGCCCAGGGCCCCGAGGGGGGCTTCCCCCCCAGAGGGAGTACAAGAGCAAACCCAGATGAGGCAAAGCCCCGCCAAGACCCTGGGCTCTCACCGGAGCTGGCTGGTGTCTCCGTAACTGAGGCAGCGCTTCGGGGGACTGGGTGGGTGCTGAAAGGGTGCCTGAGGGCGTGGGAATGTCTGGGGCTGGGTGGTTGGGTCAGCTGAAGGAGTGGGGCTGGCTGAAGGGGAATCTGAGGGAGGGAGGAGGCTGTCAGCCTGGGCCCCCCATTCAGCCCTCTCACCTCCACAGCTCCTCTCCCTCAGCCCAGTGCGCCCACTCCCTCCACCTGCATCTTACCTGAGGGCCGCAGTGCATGTCGTGGGGAGCCGGGGCTGCGGCTTCTCCTCCCGGGCTGCAGGAAGGGGTCCCCCAGCAGTGCTTCAGCACTGGCTCGGAGGCGGGGGTCTGGCTCAAAAGTTCGGAGAAGAAAGGCTTGGGCCTCCGCTGACAGAGAAGTGGGCATTGGCGGATGCACCTTGTACATGCCCACCTGGGAGGGGTCAGGGAGGACGGAAGAAGGTCAAGTTTCGAGGTGTTCAGGGCTCGGTCTGTCGCCACGCCCCCCACCCTGTGAGCCAGGCCATGAGTGAGGGGTCTCACCTTAAACATGGCCGCCTGTGGGCTCCCTAGCTCATGGAAGGGGGGGCGACCTGTTGCCATCTCGATAACAGTGCAGCCCAGTGACCAGATGTCAGCTGCCTTCCCATACCCTCGTGGGCCCTGGTCAATGATTTCTGGTGCCATATACTGGAGGGTCCCTGTGGTAGAAGCCGTGCCCTTAATGCTCATCTAGGCATTAGACAATGTGGGGGTGACGGGCTCTCATCCTCTAGCCACCCGCACCCACCCTGAACTCTGTCATCCAGATAATCCCCATCACCTACCCTGGGGGTCAAACACCTATCCTGAGTTTCCTCACTCATCTTGGGCTCCGTCACGTTCCGACTCCTTCACGCACAGTATGGCCCACCACACATCCCAGACAGCGTCATCCACTCTGAACCCATCACACACTTCTGCCCACATTCACACTTCCTAGATACTAAATTCGCCATCGTGGACTACTCAAGCTCCAGTTCTAGACTCTATCACCTCACCCCCGGCGCAATCATCGGCCCTTGGTTCCATGTCCCATGAGGGCTCTAACTCCACAGCCAGGAGAAACACCATTCCCCGGAAGGTCCTAAGAGTTCTTCTGTCCCAGGTCAGCATTCCCACTCCCCACCCCACACCCCATTACCTGTGAAGGTCTCAGTGCAAGGTGTGATGCCCGCCAGCCTCTTGGAGGTGCCGAAGTCAGAAATCTTGAGCAGCCCACTGAAGGTGTTGATCAGCACATTGTCCCCCTGAGCAGAGTGGATCTTATGCAGTGGACATCAGGCTGGGCTCCTGATGGCGGAACCGGACCCTGTCCCTGGATCCCACCTCCTACGATCGCAGCCTGACCCTGCCTCTGTCAGCCTCCTCTCTCTGCCACCCCACTTATGACTTCCTGGGTGCTGGCACCTGCTTTGGCTTCAGGTCTGAAGTTCTCTCATTCCCTTGGGAGCCTCCCTGGTGAATTCCCCCACCCTTTGCAAAGGGGTCAGCCTTCTGAATGCAAATTGCTGTTCTCTGTCTGGACCCCTGTGTTCCCATGACCCCCACCACCAGCAACGGGACTCACCTTGATATCTCAGGACTTACCTTGATGTCTCGATGCACTATGTGGTTGTCATGCAGGTAGCTGAGTCCCTGCAGGGTCTGGCGGGTATAGAAACTGATGGTGCTCTCATTGTCCTGCAGGGGGCCCCACACCGACCGCAGCAAGGAGGACAGGCTGCCTGGGCAGACGCAGTCCAGGATCATCACGGGCACCCCCTGACTCCAGCCTTCAGCTCTCTGCTCAAGGCCCAGGCACACCCCAGCCATGGCCCAGACTCCATCCCCACCCAAGTGCACAGTGTCAGCTAATTCTGAGCTACCCCACCCACGCAGGCTAGGATTCATTTTCCCCTAGGGTTCTCCACCCCCTTCCTGGCCCCATCTCCCTGCCCCACAGTTCCAGTTCCACTGCCATCCCACACTGGGCACGTACCTCCAGGCACTTCCTCCATAAAGATCTTGAGGTAGCCGTCCTGGCTGGTGGAGCCCAGGTAGCGCACGATGTTCTTGTGGCGAAGGTGCTTGTGCAGAGCAATCTCTTCATGCAGGGGCTGAGAGAACCTGGGAGTGGGGAGCAAGAGAGGAACAGGCCGCTTTGGGGCAGAGACGCTCACCCAGCTCCAGTGCCAGGCAGGCGGGGCCCCCAGGACCTGCCCCAGCCACAGGCCCCTCTCTGATCTTCTCCTCCGTATCACCCAGCCCACAGGCCCCCTCCAGACCTCATGGCCCCGCATGTTCCCTGCCATTCTGCCCACAAGACCCCCTCCCCTTGGGCCCTGGGCCCTGCCCATTCCCCCCC